TTTTATCTGCAGATATAATCAGTCTGATTCCTATGCATACCATCAAGTGAAATCCATGTGTATAACCTGCGTTTATGTTTCTTATAAAATGTATTTGCAATGAATAGGTCATTGATTGTGCAAAATTCAATCATTCTATCTCCAGCTTCATTTCTCTCACCAAGTCCATGTTTTCCAACTACTGATTCATCCTCTGTTCCCAACTTTTGCATTCCAGTCACCCATTATTATCAATGCATCTTGATTGCATGTTCGTTCGATCTCCGACTTTAAAAGTTGGTAGAAATCATCTATTCCTTCTTCTTTGACTCTGGTTGTTGGTACATAAATATATCTGAATGACAGTGGTATTCACTGGACTTCCTTATAGGTGTATGGATATTATCCTGTCACTCACAATGTTGTATTTCAAGACGGATCTAGAAATCACTTTTTAACTATGAAAGCAACTCCATTTTTCCTCGCCTTTTCATCTCTAGAGAAATATATGATCTTCTGACTCAAAATGCCCTATGCCGGTCCATCTCATCTCTCCAATGCCTAGTATGTCAATATGAGTACCATTTCTTTCTTAACAATGTCTAATTTTCCTACATTCATGGTTCTCACATTCCATGTTCCAATCACTAGTGTCTGCTTACAACTGTTCCTCTTCCTTTGATTTCCATACCTGAAAGCTCAGCCTCAGTTGCCCTTTTTGTTATCTACATGTGTTCTGTTGTACGTAGGATTTTTGGAGACCTGCTATTTCAGAAGTCCTAGTCTGTCAGATCTATAGTAGTAAATAAATATTAGCTTTATTTTTACAATTAAACTTTTATGTATGTATGTATGTTTAAAACTCAACATAAATCAAACAGATTCTCACCACTGGGCCAACTGGCTGCATCATGATAGATGGAGAAGAGATTGAGCTTGTTAATAACTTCAGCTTGTTTGGTTCCACAATCAACACTCTTGGCACCAGCAGTCAAGAAATCAAGACAAATTGCATTAGGAAGATCTGCTGTCAGGGACCTCTCCAGAGAACTGAAGAGCAAAGACATCAGTCTATTGACTAACATGCACCTGATCTAGGCCATGGTGTCTGTAATTACTTGCTGTGTATCAGAGAGATCTGCAGCCCTCAGACCTGGATTTTGGTTTTGGTCAAACATAATTCTAAGTGGTATAGCAATGGTCTGTCCATTTGCTGTACAGAGGTAACTCATGGTTGCTGTGATGCTTAACACTGTAACACTGATATGTAAAATGTGATAATGGTTACCCAAGGAGGACAGTGTTTGGTGGAGCTTTCCGATTAAATCAAGCTTGGAAGCAGGAGTGGCATCCATTTCTGAAATAGCTTGCCTGCTATGAACATGGAGAAACGATGAAAGTTCTACAAGTGTTCAGGTCTTTTGTCCACAGGGTCGCTGTGAGTCATCTATGACTCAACAGCACCTAACAAGAAGTCTTATTTATCAAAACATGAATTGCATTGGAAAAGTCTGCTGTCAGGGGTATCCCCAGAGTACTGAAAAGGAATGATTTAAGTCTGGAGACTAAGGCGTGTCTGCTCCAGGCCTTGGTCTTTGGAATTACTTGCTATGCATCAGAAAACTGGACAATGACTAGGGATGATTGAAGAAGAATTGATGTCTTTGAGCTGTTGTGCTGAATAAAAGTACTGAATATACCATGGACTGATCGGAAAACAAATAGGTTCGTCCTAGAGAGGGTGAAACTAGGCTGCATCTTGGAGGTAAGGATTCTGAAGCTTCATCTGAAATACTGTGGGTGTGTTGCAAGGAGGGACATCATGCTTCATAAGGTAGAGGGACAGCACAAGAGATGAAGACCCTCCATGAGATGGATTGGCTTGGGTAATGGGGTAGGTGTTTCAGAGACAATAAGGTTAGCTCAGGACTGAGCAGGGTTCAGAGCTGTTGTTCACAGGGTCACTACGAGTTGCAGGCAACTTGATGGTATAACAACAACAGTCTTATTCATGTAGGGAGACATAAAAGCCCATTTAGTTTCGCTCAGAGTAAACTTTTACCCACAAGTAATGACTGATTGATACGTCTGTAAGTCATCTGAGATGTACTTTCTATGCAGAGCCCAACATTGTTCATTCTCCTGAATCAAGTACTCATTAAAATATGTCCATTGAAAAGAGATACTTAGACTCTTGCAGAGACATGGTTTATAATATCTTCTCACCTTATCCTCACACACTGCAAAAATAAAGCTCCTCCTTACTTGTATGACCATAACGACCTCTCGTAGCAAAAGAAAAACACCACACACAAAGTGTACTAGAAATATTTGGTTATTTTTAATCAGCTATTGATGGTATAATAAAATAAATTTAAGTGGCACCTAATTTAAACATTTAAGATAGTTCATTGAAGGATAATCTACAACACAATATGTTAAGCCTAACTGTCAAATAATGTTCTCCCTCCCCCCGCCCCTCCTACCAAGAAAGGAGAAATAAAGGCCTAAAATCATGGCTGACAATTAAGGGCTCATTTGGACAGGTATAAACAGTTATGCACACTGGCAGGCACAATATTGGAGGAAAAAAATCCACTAGATTAAGGAAGATAGAAAAAGGCAAGATATACATTGCAGAGTTAATGTCTGAAATTAAATATCCACCAAATATCACAACAGATATTCTAATGACTGTTTAAAAAAATAATTAAGATTATTGTTTTGGGGACACCTTTTCTCTTTGAACATTTTGTACAATTTATTAAATAATTTACAAAGAGAAAGTAGTTCTGTACTCTATACAAATTAAAGAACTTAAAATGACCCCTGTCCCTACACAAAGCTCGGTTTTGCAATGGTCTCAGCAGAAAATAAACAGTTCACAATTTTAACAGAACGTAAAGTGTTACATAAATTTACAGAACTCCTGTCAATTAATCATTTTTTTCCTAACAGCAAAGACAAAATTGAATGATCAGAATGTAAAAAGTATGTGTGCAAAATTGCATTAATTGTTCTTATAATCTAACAGGGAGCAAAACCTAAGAACACAATGCCAAGAATGAAGAAAAACTACACTGAAAGTAATTATCTTCCTGTTTACAAACAGCATGGACTTCACTACCACTAAACATTAAGAAGAAATGTGGCACCATGAGCAGCAGGAGCAACGAATGATTCGGCGATGACGGCAGCTAACAGAAGCTGACCTGGAAATATGCCGAAGTCCACTTCCATTGACGAGACTGGAGACAATGGCAGGCCTTACTGTGCCCGGCAAGGTCTTTATTCTTGCATTTTCAGATTAGAAGTGAAGTGTCTGAGTCTTTTTCCTCCCTCTCTTCAGGAGTGTATCTTATTTCACTGGAAATCTTTAAAAGAGCTGAATCATAGATTCTCTGGATTTCCCAACACCAATCCATTTAACTAGGAGGGGAAAAAAGACCAGCGTTAAGTTCATTGATAATGTTCAATTTTTGAGAGATAAGCAGTCCCCCTACTTTTCTGGCTTCACTTACCTGTTCACTCTCCCTGCCCGTTGCTGTCTTTTTCTTAAATCTGTTAAGGGTCTGTGCTTATTTCTACCCAGAACATGGAGCCATGATCCGTGAAGGGCAGGCAGCCAAGTGCTTACCTTGCAGCCAGAGGTCACTGTGAGACTCACTGCTGTTTAACTGCCTGACGTTTATAACATCTTAATTTATGAGTAGGGTAGTTAAGAGCAATGAGACTTTGGGCATGTTAACAAAAAGGACCAGTCTCTGGCAAAGAGGACTTTGGAAAGTCATACTTGGAAAAGTAGAGTCAGTGAAAAAGCAGAAGAATCTCAACAAGATAGACTGATACAACGGCTGCAAAACTGGGCAAAGTTTACGAAGATGGTACAGGAGGGTGGTTTGTGTTTCTGGGGTGTGTAGGGACTCTGGTAGCTTAATGGTAAGGAGGTGCGTTGCCAGCAGGAAGGTAAGCGGTCGGTTTGAATCCACCAGAGGGAGGGGGGAAAAGGGCATTTCCTCCCGTGTGATTTACAGCCTCTGAAAACCCACAGGAAGGTCAGATATGGTTTGGTTCCAACTCAACAGCACACAAAAATCAACTCTGATCAAGTTCTAGATAACGAAACCAGTACGAGGATGCTCATAATTCCCGTATCTCAAAAGTAAAAATATCTAGATGGGAACAATACTTTAATTGTACACCCTTAGTAACTGCCCACCATACACAAGTCTAATAGTAACTACCCTACTATACCAGAATTCTAGTAGTCTAGTGGCAAGAAGCTGCACTGCAATCCCCAAGGCATGTGGTTCAAATCCACCAGCTATTCCTCAGGAGGATGGACAGATTCTGCCTTGGGTGATTTACTTATGCTGTGAAAACCAGTCAGAGAGTCAATTATGGGTCAGTTCCGACTTGGTGGTACACCCAACCACCACAGAGTCTGTGTCACTTAAAGCATTTGGCTTTAGCTAATCAATCACTGGGTTGCACTGAGTACCGTCAGAGAAATCTATGTGAAATTTTGCAGAGGTCACTGTTAAGACTCACTGCTATTTATAGTTAATAAAATAACGCTGAGCGAGCAAACACACACCCCCCACCCCTCACTGAGTAAGAGCAATGCTTACTAAATGTGAAAGTAAGCTGGGATAGGCAGCTAGTAGCCTGAAAGACAAGACACATGCTTGAAATGAACCATAAAAAAAATAACACAAAAAACAAACAAACAAAAAACCCCACAAGGTACATGTTTTAAATAAATGACCAAACAAAAATTAAAGTATATAATGAGACAGTGGAGGACAGCGTCCACCAACCAGCAGACCTCTTGTTCATCATGGAAAGGAAAGAGATGCTGTCTGGTGGGAGAATGACGTTACACAGCCAGTTACAGCCAGAACTTGGTTATTCGTAGCCAGCTGATAATTGGTATTTTCCTTTTTTAAAAAAAAATAAGTATCTTTTAAATGTATCTTTTAAAAAAAACTTTACATTGGTTTACATACAAAGTTCATATATATTGTGTTTTACACTATCCTTCATATAATCATTCTCATTCATTAGATTTTATGAAATCAGTCAATATTGAACTATGCCCACCATTACCGTCTTTCCAGATCCCTGCCAGATCTTTCCCATTTTCTTTACCCCTTCCTTCCACTCACCAAATTATGTGACCCTATATAATTTCTCCCTTGCCCATCCTCAACCCTGTTCCCACCCTTCCCCCCTTGGATACCCATACACGTTACTAGTTATCCTGTTTTTACAACAATGGTCTTGTGCAGTATTTATCCTTATGAGACTGAGTTAGTTCACACAACATAATGCTCTCTGGTCCCTCCCAAGTTAAGCAGTAATTTTAAAAATCGTTGTTCCTGGTATTTGTACCCATTAATTATTTTCTTACCTTTTTTAAAAAAATAAGATGTCTTATATTCAGTACCTATTATCTCCCAATATCTAATCAAGAAAATCTCCCCCATTTTCAAGGACAATTCAGTCTCAAAGGGGGGAAAATATTCAGAAACCCACAAACCATTTTTGGTGATGGTGAAGATACAAAAGGGTTTGTAGTTATAAAGCAAAAGAAATGAGTATAAATGTCACAGAGCTAGAGACAGACTTACCAGAATGAAAGGGTCAAAACAGGCACAAGGAGAACTGCTTAAATAAATATTTCTATTTACCTGGAATTTGAAGCTCATCTTCAATAAATCGAACATAATTTTGCGCATTGACAGGTAGGTCCTTAAATGTTCGTGCATTTGATATATCTGTGTTCCATCCTGGGAGAGTCTTATATTGAACTTCAATTTTATTTAAGACTTCCTGGTTTGCTAAAAGTTAGAGTATACTTGTTAATGGTGTACAATGCTCACTGTCAAACAAGTTTTGTTTTCTCATGTATGGGTATATGTAATACCATATACAACAGTCCCAAGAAAAACATTAATTAGATAAAGATCGTGAAATTCTAAATAGCATTTTTTTTATTAATTTAGTTTGTTTATTTTTCATTTCAAACAAGTTTTGTTTTCTCATGTATGGGTATATGTAATACTATATACAACAGTACCAAGAAAAACATTAATTAGATAAAGATCATGAAATTCTAAATAGCATTTTTTTTATTAATTTAGTTTGTTTATTTTTCATTTCAATGAACATCTACAGAGATTTTGGAATTCCATTCATTAGGTGGGTTTTGCTTTTAAATGAGTTTTGCAAAACATGAGACTTTCAGTATTTGGAGAATTTTAACCTGGGGTGGCTTGTTTACCATCAAGTTGGAACCCACCTATTGCTGGCCCTCCAGTGGGTTTTCAGAGGCAGTTAGACCCACAAAAGGAGAATGCTCATCCTTCTTCCATGGAGCAGCTGATAGATTTGAACTGTGTGCTTTCAGGATTGTAGCTAAGCTTCTCGCCACTGGAGCTCCAAACTGAGGCTTGGGGAACTCTATTATGGTATTAAAGGAGTTCCGGTAACTTAGTGGTAAGAAATTATGTTGCCAATCCTAAGGCAGGTTGTTTAAAGCCACCGCTGCTCTGTAGATGAAAGATGCACAATATCTTGTGTGCGATTTATGCCTCTGAAAACCCAGTGGAGGGTCACCTAATGGGTCAGTTCTCACTTGATGGCACACAACAACATGTTAACAACCTCACAGAAAGGCTCACACACTTATGTTGTTAATCTAGGCAATCTTATTATTTTTGTGCAAAAAGTCATAGCCAGAATTTTTCATTATTCCACCTCACCATTTCACCCAACATAAAATTAAAACCCTAAGTAATAACAGTTCTTTTGATCAGAGCCAGGACAGTGGGCACATCATCCCAGGTTACCTTCTCCAGAATTCAATATATTCAATCCTCAGTTGCCAGCTCACCACTCACACTCCAGAAGCTTCCCTGGAATTGCTTGTCCCTTCTCCCAGGGACTCCCCACAACCAGTGTCTATGTGGGGATACAAAGAAGGACTAGGGAAAGTCTGTGGGGCCATTTGGCTTCCTGAACAAACCTTGGGATAAATTAAAGGCTTTTAACTCTGTAAAGGCTTTTAAACTCTAACTTGTAACTCTATAGCTCAGCTTCTTCCTCATTCTGCTTCTCTCACTCCCTCAAAAACCTTGCTCAAGGTTGTTATGTGCCATTGTTGCTTGTGACTCATATTGACCCTATGTACAACAGCCCTAAACCCTGCTCTATCCCTGGCCAATCTTACTGTCTCTGACACACCTACCCACATTACCCCAGTCACTGAATCAATCCATCTCATTGAGGGTCTTCCTCTCCTGCACTGTCCCTCCACCCTCCTCGCATGAACATACCCAAAGTATGTCAGATGAAGCTTCAGAATCCTTGCCCCCAAGGAGCAGCCTGGTTTCAGCCTCTTTAGGACGAACCTCAGGTACTCACAAACAAATCCCCTTATCTGAGCCAATTTCCAGGAAATGCAACCTGAGCAGAAGTGCTGACTTTTCAAAGGAAAAGTGCCTTTTGATTTCTTGACTGTTGGTGCCAATGGTGTGGATTGTGAATTCAAGTGAGATCAAGTTGACAATTTGAATTTTTCCATCTATCATGACGTTGCCCCATTGGGGCCCAGTGGTGACTGTTTTGATGTTCAAAAGTAATTCATATTGAAGGCTGTAGTCCTTCATCATCTTTACCAAGCTTTCAAGTCCTCCTCACTTTCAGCAAACAAGTCTGTGTTACGTGTATGAATGCAGTTTGTTGGGGAGTCTTCTTCAAACAGTAATACCACATTTCTCTTCATAAGAGTCCAGCTTTTCGAATGATTTGTCCAGCGTACAGATTGAATAGGTATGGACAAAGGACACATGAGTGAGCACAAAACTGCACTTCTTGAGAGAGGAAACTCAAGAGTACTGAAATGACTCTACTCTCTTGGCCTGGGGACAACTTCCTGGCCTCAGCTCAGGATGCCGAGAGCAGCGGCCTGGGTGACAGTAACCGGCTTCAGGGAAGCCCAAGGACCCACAATTCAATGCCAGGTGTCACAGAAACCCTCATTCCCAAGCTGCACACATGCAAAGAACACCTCATGTTGACACGCAACTCAATCCCTCTCCACAAAGTGCTCCTGGTCAAAGGGCAAGGGAGAGGCCTCATGTAGGCTAATGGGAAGCAACAAAGTCCTGGCTCCTTGCCTCAAGTAAAGGTAACCATCAAGGATCATTCAAGGTCTCCTAATCCCGTGGGACTGGCTACCCCTCGATAATTCCTCCTCCTCCTCCTAGGTTCCTGAGAATTCCCCAATAAACTCCCTGAATGCAAATATCCCTTAGAGTCTGTTTCAAGGGAAACCTGATTTAAAACAGCTAATTAAAATGTGAGCATTTTTTCTAGGCTTTAACATTTCAGTTTAAAGGTATTTGCTTCAATGTTCTCAAAGGCACGGCTTGATTTTAGGTCCAGTCATTATGTTTGATTAATTACTGTCTCTGGTACTTGTGTTTATATCTCTTGAAATAGTTTTGGCCACAGGATTAATATAATCAAGAAACAACATACTGGACTAAGTTTTCAAATAAATGGGGATATTTCTACCATGTCAATAGATAGCATTTTTTGTATAGGAAAAACCCCCATGTGTAATTTTTAAGAAATCACATGACCACACCCTCTCATATATTAACTAGGATGTTTCTTTGTATTGGTTTACTAAACACAAATCTTCCAAGAAAACAGTTTATGTCTTGAAGAAAAGCTGATGTGTTAAGAGCCTGCTCCCCCCTCCCACCTGGCCTCCTTGTCTCCTGTCCCTCCCTCCCTGAGGAAGGAAGGGATGGAGAAACACAGGAAGAGAAGAAGCTTTAGGATGGCAGAGCAAGGCTCCAAGGGGCCACAGTTCTCTCCTGTCTTGAGTTGGAGCACACGCACCAAATGAAAAAGCAGCTATGAAACCAAATGCTAAGAATAAGTAAATAAACTTGCATTATTTGTAAGGGTTGAGCAAGTCTTTGCCCATAAGCCATAAATTATAAAAAAGTGTATTACAGAACTGGTCTAACATATTCACTTTCTATATTCTGTACGAACACCCAAAGGAAGAATACCTGGGAAATGAGGTATGATTTCACCATCTAACTTGTAAGCAACTCCAACTTTGATCTCTGTAAACATGTCCAAAATATCCAATTTGGTAAGTGCCAACCTAATTTTGGAAGAAAGGGCAGTGTTAAAATAGCAAATTCATTAAGTATTTAACATCTAATATGATGAGGGGTTAAAGGAAAATGCATAGGAAGCTCAAAGTTCCAAAGCAGCTCTGAAAACAGATTAGCATTCATGCTACACAATAAACCACTAGTGGACAATGTAACAATGTGTATTCTTTACAGTATTTAAAAAAAGGAGTGAGAGACTGCTAACAAGTCACTTTCCTAGTATTGGTAACAGATGCTCACAGATCAAGGCACACACTCCTGCTTAGCTTTCTTGGGCTGGATCACTTGGGAGGGGAGGGCTGCCTGGAGTTAAGAATGCATTCACTGCACGGGCGGGTGTGAAACCACCCCGTTTAACGAGGATGAGCACGCACGTTCACTAGATCTATGTACATTTGCAAGCAAACATGCCGTTCACCCTCTTCTTCACTCTGGTTAACAACACTTCCACCTTTTTCAACAGAAACTGTCAAAGGAAGTGAGGAAACCACACCAAAGGATTCTTCTTGAGACTTCAAAATCTCCACACAAACTGACTGGAAAACAGGGTTTTAATGGAAAAATCTGTAGAAATTAGATGAAACACTGTGCTTGAGAATTCTGCCACAAATTAACTTTTTATCCTGTAATCTCACTGCTTGCTAAAAGATAGTAAACCTAACTAATGTAGACATGAATATATTTACATGTTTACAGTAATACCTTTTACTAACATTTTAAATGTGCTATGTTTTTACTACCTTTCTCACAAAATTTCAGAAGTCTTCTCTTGCAAATAAAGCTATCTCAATTTTACAGATGACAGAGCATAAAGACTAACTTGCTATAAGCAGCAAATACAATGGACTTAAACTTTGAATTGAGGGTTCAAGGCTCTGAGTCTGTGCTCAGAACCACGATGCACATCATCTTCCAGATTCCCTTTCTGGTCTCTCTGATGGTGAGGAAAGTAACTCGGGCTCCTCTCGCTGTGTATCCTCCCCTCCTCTGTAGCTTGGTTCACTTCCATCTGGACCTTTAGCTTCAGCTCAAGCTGAAAAGTGATCTGTTTCAAAATGAAAACTGTCATGAACTATTCCGTTATGTTTCTAGAGGATACTCACGCAGTAAACCCATTAATCATGTGAGCATATTTGAGCAAAACGAGGTCCAACCAGCCACATCTTCTTTTCCTTCCAGTGGTTGCACCAAACTCTCTACCTCTTGTTTGCAGTAATTCCCCAATCTCCTAGAGAACAGAAACCCAGATTAAGGATTAGAATACCAGTGCTAAAAAGTGAGATTATATGAAAGATCACAAGAAAAAGCCTCTTTAAGGAGTTCTGGTAGTTACAGAAGTTAAACACTAAGCTTCTAATCAAGAAGGTCAGAGGTCTAAGCCTTCAAGCCCCTCTGTGGGGCAAATATTGATAACCTTCTGCCCACAGTTACTTCCCAGGAAATCCTCTGGGGCAATTTTTCTCTCATCTATAGGGCAGCTGAGCACCAGAACCGACCCGATAGCGCCAACAGCCTCCTAGTGACAAACCTTGGGAAATCCACACATACATGACTTGAGTATAAGGCAAATACAATTCCGTGTAGCAGATGGGTTTGATCTGGAGAAGACATGACTGGAAAACATCTACTTTACACTTTTATCAAATACTTTTCCTGTGCCACAGAAATAAATTTCTGAGAATTTTAATGACTAACCAAATTCTTCATATTAAAAATTAAGGAGTTAAGAAGTATTTATTAAAATAGGCAAGTTAAAGGAATTATGGCAATAGCTCTGGTTTTCTTGTCTGAAAGCTATAAGGTAAAGTCATGCCTAATAAAGATTTTTTAAAAGGGGATACAAAGTGGGTGTATTCCATCTTTAGGGAAAAGGTTGTGTCATCTAGTAAAGATTTTCAGCCTCAAAAACCTGATGGTCACCACAAGCAGGAAATAACTCAAAAGAGAGGGTTTGGTTTTGGATTTTATTAATCAAAAGATTGGCAGTTTGAAGCCACCCAGTGACACCACGGAAGAAAGGCTTGGCCATCTGCTTCCATAAAGAATGGAGCTCTGATCTATTCCTTAAGACAACTGTCCCATGACGTAAGAGTCAGACTCAGTGGAAACAGGTTTTGTTTGGGGTATCACATTCTAATGCTCTGTTGAACAGAATTAGGGTTGAAAGCAATGTTCAAGCAACTAAAAAACTACAATCATTTCCTAGGATCTAATTTTCCCCAGCTATGATTTATTTACTCCCTAACTTGCACCATTCCTGTGAAGGCTATTATTTTAACGCCTTTTCTAATTTGGCTCTGTTATATTATTTTTTTAAATGTTGCTCTGATTAAGCTAGTGAATGGAGACTGAGGGGTTCAAGAAACAAGAATTCCTTTTAAAAGCCCAACACCAACCCCTCCCCTCCTTTTGGAATTAGTGACTAAGCAACTAGCTCACGTTGTCTTGTTCTGTAGGAAAGGCACCGATGCCAACCCGAGTGGTGTACGCTTTCACAACGCCGTACACCTCCCCCACATTTTGAGGGGGCATCCCCAAACCAGTGCAGACGCCTCCAACAGTGCAATTCGAAGAGGTTACAAAGGGGTAAGTCCCTAAAAAACAACAACACAACCCAGAAATAAGTATTATAATATAAACACACATATATTATTATTATTACATTAAATAAAATTACTACTCAATTTTTACATCTAAGTATATTGGAGATATATAGTACATTTAAGTATAACTGTAACCACTCTCAAAATCCCAAGTTTAAATTCTTTTTGTCCATAGATAGATAAAAACAGAGATGCTTAAAACTGTACCCAAAGTGTATATACTGAAGAAGTTCCTAGCGTGAATGCACAATTACCAGTTTTGCTGTATACATCAGTTTCTTAACTGCCAATAAGTAAGGCAGTGCTGAAATTATTGTTCTTTATATAGAATGATAATCTAGGTATTTAAATTATTAAAAAATAGTGATATTTAACATTTCTGCACTCTTTGGTTTCTTTCCAAGGAAACATCTCAGACATTACAGGGGTTAAATAGCGGTTATATGTCCCTACAAGGATCCCTTCACACCAACCAAGGTTTTAATATGTTTATCAGTCAGAATGGACTAACACCACAAGCTACTAATTAGACACTTCTGTCACCCTTCCATATGTCTTACAGTTCTGGGGGCCAGGAGTGTGGGAACGGGGGTAAGGACAAGGGTACAGTGTGATGGAAAAGCACAAATTTGCAGAGCCTCAAACTCACTGGAACTCATATATTGATTATTTAAGCAATTAGCAAAACTTTATTAATAAATATTCCTTTTAAAACAGACTGGCATCAAAACAACTATGAGATATCATCTCACCCCAGTCAGAACTGCAAAATTTAACAGAACAGCAAGCAACAAATGCTGGCGAGGTTGTGGAGAAACTGGAACCCTTATTCACTACTGGTGGGAGTGTAACCACTGTGGAAGGCGGTATGACACTTTCTCAAAAAGTTGCAAATAGAGATATCATTCGACCCAGCAATTCCACTACTGGGAATATATTCCAAAGAGACCATAACTGACATCCAAGCAGATATACGCACACCCATGTTTATCATAGCTTTGTTCACAATAGCAAGGATTTGGAAACAACCTAAGTGCCCATCGACAAACAAATGGCTAGAGAAGCTGTGGTACATTCACACAATAGAATACAATGCTGCACTGAAAAACAAGAAACTAAAAAATGGGTGAGCCTGGAGGACATTATGTTGAGTGAAGTATCTCACTCACAAAAAGGACAAATACTGCATAGTGCCAATTTGTAAAAGAGGACTGACCTCGGGGTTGGGAGGAGACTGAGAAGGATGGGTTCAATAATGTATACTGCATTGAAATAGATGAGGGAGAAAACTGTTTAAGAGGGAAAATTATTAGGTATTTTTGTCATGACAGGAGTCCAGAGCGAAGGCTGCATAGTGAAGTGGACCTGGGGGGAGGGCTTGTAAAATAATGAAAGAATTTTGCCTTTACTTTTACAAGAGGGTAGTGTACTAGGGGGGAGGGTTGGGAGGGGAGAAAAGTGCAACAATGAATGAATGGAAATCCAAAGTCTCTGTAAGCGTTCATTGAAATTAATAATAAATTTTTTAAAAATGTACAAAAACAAAACAAAAAAAACCCAAGTACAACATATTGGCAGAAGATAACCCTATCATTCCTGAATATCCGGTGAAGAACTAACATGAATTCTCTGTATCTCAAGTCTTTGAGTCAAGTGCCCCATGAACCACACCTCACTTACCAAAATCAATATCCAGCAGAGCTGCATTTGCACCTTCTACCAAGATTTTCTTTGGCGGTCCATGCAGGGCCTCATATAGAAAGTAAACACCATCTCTCACCATTGGCTTAATTCTTTCCATATAACCCTGTACACAAAGACAAAAATGCTATTCCAGCGTATGAGTACTAATAAGTTTACAACACAACCAATACAAGTATAAATGACCTTATTTTATCCTAGTCATAAACATAACACGAAGCCATAAAAATATAACAACAAAAGAGGCAAAGAAAAAGGAGTCCGTGGTGGTGCCTACGCTCTGGCAACACCTGCTTCACTTTGCTCTCTGAACACCCATTCTCTAGGACTAAAAGAAAAACTAGTTTCAGACAGACAATGAAATCTAAAGGTTCTATATTATCTCCACTGCAAATACTTAAGAAACAACTGGTTAATTTTTCAAATCAGTTTTTAGATTAACAAAAAAAAATGACTGTATTACATTATACTTTTAAATTCTGTGAAGTATTTGAAAAATTATCATCCAGGTGACCATAAATTTTGAAATTCAAAATGATTCTCAAAATGTTTTAAGAACCACAAGGCACAATGCCAAACTTGCAAATAATCAGTAACTGATTGCTAACATTGTTTTAGGGAGCTCTGGTAGCTCAGTGGTAAGAAGTTGTGCTGCCAACTCTAACCCTTGTGGCTTGAATTCACTAGCTGCTCCATGGGTAATTTATTGTCTCTGAAAACCCACTGAGGGATAAGCTATAGGTCAGTAGTACCTCCTTACAGTATTCTTTTCTGTAGTATTCAGTAGTCTACACAACAACAATATTCTTTTATCACTATTTGTTTATAGTAAAATATTTCAGCATTATTATTATTAATTATTATTATTAAATCAGAGAGCATTATAGAGCTGGACTATGACTAAGGAGACAGAGGAAGAATTGATGCCTTCCAATTGTGGTGCTGAAGAAGAGTCTTAAACATATCATAGACCACCAAGAAAACAAATTGGTCTATCTTGGAGAGGGTGAAACCAAGTCTCTTCTTAGAGGCTAGAAAACTTGGGCAAGTGGCCAGGAGAGACCAGTTCTTGGAGGAGGATATCATGCTCGGAAGGGTGGATGGACAGGAAAGGAAGACCCCAGATGAGATGGACTGACAGTTATTGGGGTAATGGGGGGATTGGTATGTCAGAATTAGTGAGATTGGCTCAGGAGAGGGCAGGGTTCAGAGCTGCTGTATATAGGGTCACTGTGGGTCGCAGGTGACTCGACAGCACACAACATCAGTCAATACTGTCTCAAACATTAGCATCATAAAAGTTTTCTCAAAAATACTTAAAGTGCTAATAATATCACTTAATTTATAATCTACCTAAAAACATGTCAATAAGAAGTTCTCCTAATACCTCTAATATTGACTAAAACAAAAATCTAGTTTCAGCTACATTTAAGCTTGTAAATCCCTTAATTAACTCATGAACCTAAGTAGGTTATATGCATTAAGGAGTATGTTTCCTCCTTGGCTACAGTTTCCAATCTCTTACTTATTTACTCCCTTTTAAATCCCTGAAATGATTATACTATTCAAATATCCCCTATTCTATAAGTAGTAGCTCAACATTTTATAAGTAGTATTTTATCTGTTCACTGTTCTTTATTTGCTTTATAGTCACATGGAGTATTCCCAAAATATAAATAAAAGGAGCTTTCTGGCAAGATAGTAGACTAGGCAGACGACAGCCTAAATCTTTATAACCAAGACAAAAGAAAGAGGATGATTATCCCCAAAGCTCAAGTTTCAAAGGAAATGATAAAGGAGTAGTTAAGATACAGATTCAAGGAAGAAACTAATGAAAATGTTCAGGAGACAGAGGGAGAAATAGAAACAGGCCAGACACAAAGCAGTCATTCGGAGCTCTATGACCAGCATAGGAACACAGGATGGCAACAGCACCCACACAGTGGCTGGCTGAAAGGAAAAGTACTATCCCTGTTCCCCATACCTTCTCAAGCTCAGAAGAGTGACTGTGTCCCTTGCTCACCTACCATGTGGCTAGAAGCACCACCCCTTGACCTCAGTCCCATTTTCACCCAGGACCAGCTCTGTGCCACTGTGTATCTGATTCTGAAACATGTAGTCTCATACACTCACCACCTCCTGGTGCCAATGGAGTGTGCAGGGCCTGACCTAACGGCCTAGCCTGCAGCCAAACTCTAGACAGAGGGGTCATCCGTAACCGTGACCCATGATGCAGATCACTTCTGGGTTAGTACGAACTGCCTCCAATCAAGTGAGATTCAAACCAGGTGAGCAACATGAGAAAACAAGCAGTGTAATCCACCACATATACACAAAGAATCTATGATCATTTCAACTGATACTGAAGAGACATTTGGCAAAAGCCAACATCTTTTCCTGATAAAAATATTCACCAATATAGGAACAGAAGGGAAAAATTTCTCAACATAATTAAGAGAACATATATAAAATCAGCCTCTAGAATTATTCTCAGTCTAATGAGAGAATGAAGGGACTCTCCTTGTGAATGGAAATTAGAGGATGCCATTTGTTGCCTTACCTGCAGAATGTGAAGAAGACTAAAGGTTACAGCCTTCAACATGAATTACACCTCAATGGCAAAAAGACAAAAATCTTCACCACTAGGCCATATCATGATAGATAAAGACGGAAGTTATCAACAATTTCACTTTCACTTCATCTATAAGCCACACTCATGGTAGCAGTCATCAAGAATTGCTGAATGGGAAATCTGCTGCCAAGGACCTCTTTAAAGTACTAAAGAGCAAGGATGTCAGTTTAAACTAAGGTGTGCCCAATTCAAGCCATGACATTTTCAGTTGCTTCCTATGCATCTGAAAATTCGACAATGGATAAGAAAGCCCAAAGGCAGCTTGGGTTATTGAATCATGGTGTAGGAGAAGAGTACTGAACAGATCAGGGACTGCCAAAAGAGCAAACAAATCTGCCTTCAAGGAAGGGCAACCAGCGTGCTCCTTAGAGGCAAGGTGTCTCATACACTTCGGTCATGTGGCCAGGAGGGGCCAGTCCTTGGAAAAGGACATCATGCTGGGAAAGGTGAAGAGAGGAGACCTTCAGTAAGATGGGCAGACCCAATGACTGTAACAACGTGTATAACCATGATGGAAATCCGTGAAGATAGTGCAGGTTAAGGCCAAGTTCAGAGATCTGTTGCTCAGAGTTGCCCTGAGGTATAGTAGACCTGGTGGGCCTAACAACATCCACAGGGGAACTCTAATCTGTAAAGAACTGTGCTAACTCTTTGGCAGTTCAAATCCACCAGTGGCACTGAGGGCAAAAGGTGGGAAGACTTCTCCAGTGTCATTGACAGCCTTAGAAAACCAAAGGAGAATCAGCTATAAGCCATTATTTATCCCCTCTTTTCCTAGGTTTCTCTCAACCTCAATGTCAGTCCTGTCTAACAACAGTGGCACTGCAGTATTTGTCCTTTTGTGACTGAGATATTTCACTCAGCATAATGTCTGATCAACAAACTAATGTATAGAGAAGCTGTGGCATATTCACACAACAGAATAAATACTATGCTACATTGGAAAAACAAAGAACTCATGAAATATTATGCAAACTGAGTGACCCTGGAGGACATTATGCTCACCTCTCTTAGAGAGATCACAGTGGATGACGGCTGAAGAAAATGTGGAACAAAACCTAAGGCTGCGCTTCCTGGTCTAACAGAGACAGGGCCACTAGAGACTCCTTCACGCAACACAACAACAGCCGTGGACAATACGATTCTGAGTCAGCACACAAAGGCACACCATGGAGACAGCTATCATCTGAAGGCACCAATCAAGCTGCTGTGGGACTGATCTGCCACAAGAAAGGCTGGTAGGATCCTAATTGGGTTTTCCTGGGCAACGCCTATTGTCTGGGAGAGTTCCCAAGGTTGAGCCCCCTGGTGGGAATTGGGCTGAGCTCTCTCAGGGCACGCCAACTGCCCAGGAAAGAGCGGGCCAGTGATAATTTGGCAGAACTTTTGTGGACACTGCAGACCAGCCAGAGGCGAGTGGGTTGGTGGAAATTTGACTTTGTCTTGTTGAGTCCCCCTGACCCAGGAGCCTTCTTGGGCAGGGGCCACGGTGCAAAGGCAACTGCGTGAGCACAACTGGACAGGGACCAGTGAATGAAAACCACTGGGTGGGAGACGGACAGCTGGAATTTGAATAGGGACCCCAGTTGTAAGCACACCCAGACAACTGAGGCCTGAGTGAGGTCCTCCAAGTGGTTGACCTGCCCTTGTGATTGCCGCAACCACATGCATGCCCTTCCCTATTTGGCTCCACACCTGTGTCTACACAGCTGGTTAATCAACCTGCCTTTAATCCGGAGCACCTTGACCTATCTTACCTACCAGAAGCTGCTCTCACAGGCTCTGAACTGACATTTCCCTGGAGTCAGACATTCAGAGAAAAGCACAAGTGGAATAGCTACCCAACTGATCTCAAGAGCATTATCTTCATCGAGAACATATCACTGTCTCGAAGAAAGCAGCTGTCCCACACAATACACAAGCACAAAGTAAGATATCACCCCCAAAGGGTGACACAGTATCAATGGATTTCCTGAAGCCAGAAAGTCTGATGGAACTTTCTGACACAAAATTTAAAAGAGCAATGATTAAATATTTTCAATGGATGAAAGACAAACTTGAAGAATTACAGGATACTACAAACAAAAAACAGGAGGAACTAAAAAAAAAAAAGTCCAGAACAATGTAGAGAAAACAAACGAGGCATTCGCGGCACTGGAAAAACAAGAAACCACTATCCAAAATATGAGGTCCAATGTTTCAGATGCTGTCAACATGATAGAGGGGCACGTGAACAGAGTTGAAGAGATGGAATAAAGAACCAAGAAATTGAAGACAAAATTGTCACCACGGATTTGCTAGAGCAAAAAAAGACTCAAAAAGGAAGGAAAAAGAAGAAAACCTAAGATGGGAACACCATCAAGAGAAATAACATGTGCATCATTGGAATCCCAGAAAAGGAAGAAGCAAGTAAAGGTACTGAAAAAGTTGTGGAAGAATTACTAGAGGAAAACTTTCCAGGCATAATGAAGAAT